CTCTCATTATATCAAAGAAGACTGCTCTCAGGGAGAAGAGCTGCCCACCAGTTTGAAAACAGACCTCCGATTGTCTCAAGAAGGCTCTCCGTCCTTCCTGCAAAGTCCAGAGGTTTGAGCCAATCTGTTCTGTGGTGATTCCCACTCCTTGAGGACTGGGTATGTCCTACCTTGTCAATGAGACAGCAGGATGCCTTGAGCACTGGATGTGCTCATCTCTGAAGCCTGAAGTCAGCAGCCTCAGTGGCTACTCTGAGAGAAGCTGCAGAGGGTGGGTGGGCAGCGGATGGGTCCTCCTGCTTGGGGAAGGAGGCCAACATTCGCCATACTGTCTGGTCCTCTCTCCCCTATCCATGTCAGCGGCTTGCTCATGTGTGTAATCGCCCTCTGCTAGGGGTCCCTGAAAGTCAGCCTTCTGAGGGGCCATGGGAGGAGCTTGGCAGGTCTCCTTTCCTTATCCTTGGTTGTTAGGCAACTTTGCAATGGATTCTCCCGTCACAACAACCCGGGCTCTGACTTTCGGAAACAATAGTGTTGACTTCAAGCTGGTGTGTGGGAAAGTGTGTGTGTATGTTTTATTTATACATTTATATATTTATTTATTTTTTTGTCCTCTGATTCATCAGGTTAAACAGTTTATTGAACAGTGCTTGTACCTCTATCCAGAACTATGTAACTCTGAAGGGTTTATGTGTTGCCCAGATTTTTAATTTGGGCCTCAGAACCCATTACTTTCAGAACCCTGTGTATGAGAGGAAAAGCAAAGAAAAAGGCATATATGGCTGCCAGGGGTAGACCCCCTACTGTAGTTGAAAGACGGGGTAGTTCCAGGAGGCAATGAGTTCTATGTGCCAAAGAGCAGAGCTGGAAGAGCATTCTCCCTGTCATCTCTATCCCATACGCACAGTTCCTACTCCTGCTCTCCCTTTGCAGGTAACTGCTGTTATTTATTTCTTGGGTAGACCTGTAGATTTTCTTTATGGGCATACAAAAACACACAGACACACACACATGCACACACACACATGAATACTCCTAATTTACACACAAAATAGAATGCGCACTGTTCTGCTACTTGCTTTTACCAGTTAACTTACATTGGAGATCTTTCTGAATGAGTATAGAGAGATTTTTTTTGATTGTTTGTATAATTACAAAGAACTCTGTTGCATAGATATGCCAAAATCTGTATGATTAGTAGATTTGAAGTTGCTTTTGGTTGTTGCTATTACAATCAAAGACAAAATTAATAACCATGGATAAACATATCATTTTGCCATGATCAGAAGTACATGGGTTACATTCATGCAATTCAAGATCAGTGGGTTAGATTCATAGAATAGAAGTCTGTGAATAAAGAGGTACATATTTGTGGACATTGTGGGAAAATGGAAGAATAGAGAGCTCCAAGAATTGTTCTTTCCTTTAAAGTAACCACAAGCAGGAGAAATCTGACAAAATCAATATTTTCCGAACACTGGTATCTATCTATGCCAATCTATTCTGTGATGGATTCTAAAACATCACCTCATACATGTTAAAAGGTCTATTATCAAAATGACAAAAGATAATCAAGAGTTGTTAAATATGTGGAGAAAAGAAAAAAACTTATACATTGTTAGTGGGAACGCCAATTAGTACAACAATCATGGAAAACAGGAAGATGTTGCTGGAATATTACAAAACAGAATTACCTTGTGAGACAGCAATCCCATTATTGAATACATATCTAAGTGAAATAAAATCAATACATAGGGGAAATCTTCACTTCCATGTTAATTGCAGCATTATTTGCAGTAGTCAAGATATGGAATGAACCTAAGTATCCATCAGAAGATGGATAGATACAGACAATGCAGTACATAACCACAATGGAATCCATTCAGCCACAGAAAATAATGAAATCTTGTCATTGATGACAATGTGGATGACCCTGGAAGAAATTATGTTAAATGAAAAAAAGTCAAGTAGAGAAAAACAAATACCATATTATCTCAATCACCCATGGAATCTAAAAATGCTGGTCTCATAGAAATAGAGAATAGCGTTACCTTAGATTAGGTAGAGAGAAGTGATGGGAGGGGAGGGGAGGGGATGGGGGGAGATAGGAAGGATAGTAGAATGAAACAGACATTATTGTGTGTATATATGTGACTGCATGACCAATATGATTCTGCCACCTGTACACTCAGAAAAATGAGAAATTATATCCCATCTGATTCAAATGTATGATATGTCAAGGTCATTGTACTGTATGTGTAACTAATTTAAACAAATTTTTAAAAGAATCAAATAATAATAATAATAATAATAGTAATAGTAATAAAGAAATAGAGAATAGAATGGTAATCACTAGGGCCTAGGGTAGAGGTTGTGGGAGTCCAGCAAGATGCAAGGCAAAGAATACAATTGTTAACTGGGAGGAATAAGTTCAAGAGATTGTGCAACATGGTGGGCTTAGCTGACAATATTTTGTGTCCTTAAAAAAATGCTGCAAGTGGATATAAAATGGTAACTATGTTAGGTAATGCATATAATTATCTAGATTTAGTCATTTCACAATATATACATACTACTTCAAAACAACATGTTGAGCACAGTGAATTCATACAATTTTAAGTCAGTATAAAATAAAATACAATTATATAAATAAGTTAAGATTATCAAAATATTAGGTCACCATATATTCAAACCTAATGCCTTCTTGAATAATTGTTTACAACAAATTGATATTAAGAGGTGGTCTTTGAGCAAAAGTAGAAATATTTTCTTTTGTACAAGCTCACATTTTTCTTAAGTGGCATGTTAGTATAGCAAAGCTATCCAAGAAATTCTGGTGGCCTTTAAAGTAGGACTTGTTGGAGATGTATTTTATTTAATTTCTACTTTGACTGCCATTTCAAAAACAGTGCTCTTGTTCTGGTTCCACCACTCCCCAATTCCTCATTTCTCCGAGTTACTGTGTCCTCTTTGATCCAGAGGCATAAAACTACCCACCTCCCAATTTTGTAAAAATTAATTCAAAAATGACAATGGAATGCCCATCATTACCCCAAATACATGTATGAAGAAATGAATGTTGTGACTCTACTTTGTGTCCAACCAGTGACATGAAAAATTGTGCTCTATATATGTAATGTGAACTTCATCACATTCTGCTGTCATATATAACAAATCAGAACAAATTTAAAAATGAAAATGGAACAGTTTTAATAAAATTGATATAAAAATCAAAGTTACTCCTTCGGGTATATAGGAATTTTGGGTTAGGTCTCACCTCTATCTTGTGTTTGAACCCGAGATCCATGACTTTCATAAAATTGGTCTACGTGTTATTTTCTCTCTTCCATACTCTACACATAATGAGACTCATCCATACCTTTAAAAATTCTGTTCTTTCTATAAAATATACTGTCTTTTATGGTTTAAAAGCTTATGTGTGAAATAGTGCAAGACATCATAGATATGAAACAATTGGGTTCTGATATGACAGTTTTAATTTAATCAGTGAATTAATCCCCTGATAAGGATTAACTGGGTGATTCCTGTAGATAGATAGGATGTGGCTGAAGGAGGTAGGTACCTGGGAGCATTTCTTTGGGGGTATATATTTTGTCTTTGTTGAGCAGAGCTCAATGTCCTGAGCCATTTTGTTGAGCAGAGCTCAATGTCCTGAGCCATTTTCCTCCACTACATGTTTCTGACATGATGTTCTACCTTATGTTGGGCCTAGAACAATGGAGTCAGTCATCTATACTCTAAAACCATGAACCCCAAAATGAACTTTTCCTCCTCTAATTGTTCTTATCAGGTTCTTTGTTCATGGTAGCAAGAAAGCTGATTAAAACACTATCTCTAGATCTCTTCCTCTACACAAGACTCAATCATCCTTTGAATTTTAGTTTAAGTTCCAAATTTCCATGATAAACTGTGACTTAAATCCAAAGTGGAGAAAGGAAGAAATCTGTCCAAGTGTGCAAAGTGATCAAGTCACATTTCCACACAGTTATAATTGTCTGAGATTTTTTAATGCATTGGCCCATGAAAGTTTGAAAATTTTATAGAACTCCAGTCATAATAAAAATTTTAGATATTCATGGGATTTTGCTAGATATTGACCCTCTGGGATAGAACTTACTCTATAAAATTGTACCAATGTCTTTATCTTGGAAGATCCAATTAAACACTATTAATCCTCCAAACACTAAACTTTAACCTGGAATGGTATTTTTAGGAGATTGTTGCAAAAATAATCCCATTTTCCATTTGAAAAATATCTCTCTATAGACAACCACTAGTGTAATTCCCAATTGACATTTAAGAATAATATTTACTCCAAAGCTCATAAATCAGCATCCATTCCTAGATGAGAACATGTCTCCAAAGTACAACCGATACACAGGTGGGTATTTTATACCAGGGCCATAAAAGTTTGCTGAGTGGGGATTTTTTTTTTCTGCCCAACTAGGCTTGGTGTGAGGTCAGGAACCTCACGCTGCCCCCAGCAGGCCAAGTACAGAGTTGAGTTGCTGATCCTTATAACCTATAAGCAAGATTGTTCTTAGATTTTCTTGTATCCTGTCTGATGGCAAAATTCCAGGTGGAGAAGAAGGAAGTCACCCATCTCTGCACCCCTGACCGCTAGAGAAGCACTGTGTGAATTTTTGCCTGGATTTTTGTCTTAGCTTTCTCTCTTCAGACTGAAGTTTGGAGAAGGGAAGTGACTCAAGTAAGTTCCCACTCTTCTTTAAAGTGACAAAGTCAGAACTAAAATCTGTATTTTATGTCATACAGCTCAGGTTGGAGATGTGAAGTTTATTTTTGGTTTTCCTAAAATGTATTAAGAATTATAATTATTAAAACATCTTCAGAGGCTCCTATTCCTCATAATCCCTGCCCCTCCTCAGTAATAATAAGCTCCCCTAACTTGTTATTAAGTTATATCCCCAACACTCTGCCTTCCCATCACACATGAATTCTAACCAGGGCCCAGTCTCTGACCTTTGGCTTTGCCCTCCTCTTGGCCTAGATAACACAATTTGACAAAATCCTTTAAAGCTCAATTAATACAGTATATCTATTTGTCCACAGCTGACTTAGTTCAATGGACTATTATCTTCAATAATTGGTTGACATTTTACTTCAGACACTAATCATATATTTTCCACTTCCTCTCCTATACCATGATCATGGAGGATCCAAGAAGAGTGTTTTGTTCATCTTGGTGACCTTGCCTGCCACTGGCACTCATGAGCATTCTATAAATGGGTGCTGAATTTGAACCTGCCATTGGCCAAAATCATCCTCAAGTTAGTTATAAAGGATATCTGAAGCTCAGATCTTCAAAGCTCTGGATCTCTTTCCTTTCCACCTTGAATGTGGACTTTGACTTCCATTTTGCTTGTTGCTGGCTTCACACTGGATGCTCCAAGCCAGCAGGACACACTTTGACACTGGGTAAAGGCAGAATCACTCCTCATTCGTCCTGCAACCTTGGGAGGTCTCGCATTGGCAGTCCCAACCACATACCCAGGCTCTCCATCTGGGAACCCATCTGGCATTTTGAAATCCGTGTCTTTGTCAGTCCAAAGTTCTGCTGGATTCCGTGCATTTTCCACACTAGGTTGCCCCTCTAGTCCCACCCAGCAGGTTCCCAGAGGAGTTGTGGAGCAATAAGGCTTTCCCCCATTGCCCTCAACATCTGTGATCTAATCATGCCCAGCTGTGAGGAGCTTGCAGAGATGGAGGCAAGGAAGGAAGTCACAAAGCCCTGCACCCATGCCCCTTCTCCGGGACTCAAATGCTTTCACGTCAAAAGCTTGAGCCTGTTTTCTCGTTGTCTTCTGAGATGTAGTGCTGCTTTGGCACTCGGCACCATCAATTTGAAACTGACATTTCTGTAGTTTCTAATGAGAAGACGATTTGACCGGCTGAAGAAAAAATGACAGATAATCACTCTCTCCCTCAGTCATAGCCACAGTGTCTGAGCTTCCCTCCCAGACTCCATGGCTGGGTGAAGACAGGTTTGAAAAGATCTATGTGGGTCCTTAGAATCTTCTGTCTATACCGGGACCTCTTGGCAAAACTGCAGAAACCCTATCCACTATCTCATATGTGGCTCCCCAGAATGACATTCTGAAAAGAATACTTCATGCAATGTTTGTAGGCATTTTGAAAAAAAGCAAAAATAATAATGCTACATAAGCTTTCAAAATGCCAGGTTAAACTAAATACATTGCACTTTGCTACCACTGTTTACCTGAAGAGGCCTTTATTACGGTAATGTATTTGTAACTACCCTGAGGAGGACAGAGCATGTGGCTTGTTTGACCACTAAGTTGTTTTTCCACTGAGGCTGTGGTAGAACTAATGGTAACTGGAATGCACTCAACATGCAAAGAACAACAAAAATAAAACAAAAAAAATTAATAAAAAAACAAACAAAAAACTCTAAGGTAGGCTTGTTCTTCCTTTCTTTTTCTCAGCAACTCATGTAGTCGTTGCTCTACGTCACATTCTCTTTTTTGTTTTTATTTAGTTTATCTCTTTATTAGTTTATTTCTCAGACACTACCTGCCAATATCTTCCTTTGCAAAATAACCCATGTTCAGTATTATTTCCAGGTGTTGTTTGAAGGTTAAAAGATCAAGTTCCATGAATTCAAACAAGTACGAATTCAAGTCTTTGGCCTGAGAAGCACTTGGTGACCTGGGGAAATCGATATTGTTAGTAGTTTCAACCTATTCTTCAGTAACAGAAAGAAGAAAATACTCAAATGCCACACTGACAAAAATACACACACACAGACACACACACACACACACACACATACACTCACACACATATGCATATATATATGAGCATTCTGAGTGCTATCTGCCATACACAGATCCTCATTATAAATACATGCAAGTCCTTATTTATAGCATTGCTCTTGTTCTTATATTGGCTTTAATGTTTGTGCTACAGAGAGAACTGAAACAGCGTTAAAATAGCATATCACATAAATGTAACTAGATTTATCAATGCTATTTTACATCAGGAGGCACAGTCAAAAGCATTCATACCCTCTTGCTGTGCTCAGAAAAGGGATTCTACTTGGCATTGTTTACTAAATGCTGGCTTACCTATCTGAGAGGCTGCAGTCCCAAGGCCTGAAGGGATCTGGGTACCTGTGAATAGCCTGAGACCTCATTCTAATCACTTCTTCCTAAAGTAGTCTCCTGAAGTAACCTCTATATCCTGTACACATATGATTGTTAACTCAGGCTCCATGATATGAAAACACACGTGTCATGATACCAAAAGTACTCCTGGGCTGGGGATGTGGCTCAAGCGGTAGCGCACTCGCCTGGCGTGCGTGCGGCCTGGGTTCCTGCGTGCGGCCCGGGTTCGATCCTCAGCACCACATACAGACAAAGATGTTGTGTCCGCCAAAAAGTACACTCCTGATGAATGACCAGCTTCTAACAGGTGATCTGCTTTATTCAAAACATTCACCCAGATCAAACTGTGACTAGGAGATTGGGGATTTGGCTTAAAAATCATGCATCCTTAGAAAATTAGATTATGAGACTTGAAAAGATCCTTTAGATTTTTGAAATACTTAGACTTTATAAAACTGACTCCAACATATATCTAACTGGTTGGCCCTGAAATTTGTAGTCTCTCCTCTGCCTAGTTGATAACTTGGAAGTAAAGGGTAAACAGAGGGGGGGAAAAAAAGACCACAGTCTTCCACCAGCCCCCTTTTTCCACGTAGAAAGACATTAAGGCCAAACAGGCAAAATATGAAAAAACAGTAAAATTTCTTGGGAACAATGAAGTGTCTGAGGGGCTCTCTGCTTCATGGGGCTTCGTCTGTGTCAAGATTGTAATGAGCCAAAAGACTGTAAGTTAAAATCTCAACTCAAGGCTCTGCCCTGGTTATCTGTTCTCTACATGAAGATGAGGATATATTCCAGAAAACATTTTACAAATGGTAAAGCTCTGTGACATATGATTGTTGCATTCTAATGGTTGGGATACGAAGGACTGGTTTGGGCAAATGGTGTCTGAGCCAAGAAAGCAGCATTTCCAGCTCAGCCTTACTTCTGGCCCCTTGCCTATCCCATTTTCACATTCTCACATTGGGGCTCAGACTGAAGGGAATGTGCCCTTAGAGACTGGTGGTTTCCATCAGAACACAAGGCTCCACGTTCCACGGCGGGATTCCCAGCCTCAGCATATGTTGGCCCAGACTCTCCTATCCCCCAGCTCTACTCCCCCAAATTGCTATCAACCCCCACGGGACAGCTTCTTGCAATGTGTTATTTTGTCTCTCCCCTGTTGCTACAGCAATTTGAAAAAGATTTGTGTTTCCAATTCTGCAGAAATGGAGACATCTGCAGTCAATTTTGAAAATCCTTGTCAGGGTCCGCGTTTACTGTTTTGATCAGCTCTCCCCGACATGTGGGCAGAATCCCCAAAGAAGTTCAAAAGGAAAAGACCCCTCTCGGTAAACAAGAGCTTCTAATAAGGGCAGCCTGCCTATGGATTTCTGTTCCCCAGGGAATGGGAGCTATGAACGCTAGGATACCAAAGTTGCCTCCCCTGGCCCAGGAAGGAGAATGCTCAAATCCAAAGGATACTTGCGTTCCCCAAATCCCACCCCTTATTCACAAAAGGAATTGTAGAAGAGACCATTCCTCCACTTCAGGAGGTCCTTAATCTGAGACTTTTAAAAGATGACCAGAGGTGATGTTGTTTAGGATTGGACAGTAGGAATTCTCATGCAATTAACCATGTGACCTTAGGTTTAAGAATCACATCTAGGTTCTAGCTCTCTCACATATCCAATGAGTAGGTTGGATGTCCATGGCTCCTTTCAAGTCTCACATAATTCTGTGCATGAGATTATCCAGCAGAGGTTTCACAAATGCCTGCTAACCCGGGGCATTTTGGAATACATCATATATCAATGCCCCCAACAGTGCAGAGCATCTGTTCCCACATTGAATATCCCCAAATGAAAGAGCTTTCTTACACACCATTTACCATTGCTCAGACTCTAACATGCTATGACCCTGCTATGCCTTCACTACTGTCAAATTCCTTTCCTGAATGATTCTTCCTATTTCTTCTAAGCTGATGCTTTTAGTTTGTGGCAATTCTAGTTGGTTGAACTTTTCTTAAAATATAGGCACCTAGGCTCCAGTCCTGTGAAAAAAAAGCTTGAGATTTTTGTTTATAACTAATTGATGTCTGTTTGGGTAGCTATAAAAACTTCTGGCTCCTTCTCTCCAGGCCATGTTTCAAATTTATGAGTTGATTCCTAGATGGGTACATTTTCACCATAGTATTATTCAAGGCCTATGACTTTTAAGGGTTAATGTATAAGTTTCTTATTGCTGCTATAACAAATGAGTATAAGCTTAATTGCATAAAACAATGTAAATCAATTATGTTATAGTTCTGGAGTTCAGACATTCAAAATTGGTCTCACTGTATTAAAATCAATGTGTTGGCATGGCTCATTATTTTGGGAGGCTACGGGAGACTCTATTTCCATGCCCTTTCCAGCTTCCAGAAGCCCCCTGAGTTCCTTGGCTCACGGCATGTTTCTCAACCTTCAAA